CGGGGTGCTAGTGGAGCGCCGGCTAACTGTGGCGCGCTTAATTGCGCCGGATTTGCGAATAAGATGAGGCCCCCTCCACGAGGTGAGGCCCCCTCCGCGAGGTGAGGCCCCCTCCGCGAGGTGAGGCCCCCTCCGCGAGGTGAGGCCCCCTCCGCGAGGTGAGGCCCCCTCCGCGAGGTGAGGCCCCCTCCGCGAGGTGAGGCCCCCTCCGCGAGGTGAGGCCCCTAGCAGACACCTGATCTGCGTGTAGGGAAGGGAGGGCCTGCAGTCAGCAATTGTATAAACGCTAAACATTGTCACAGTTTGGGACTATTCAGTGAGTAGGTCTTAAAAGTGATTAAAAGAAGCGATTTCATTCAACAATTTGCAACTGAATCCATTGGCTTTCTTATGTAATTGAAAAAGTGGCCAAAAATCGTAAGAATGTAGCACCGAGTAGAGAGTTTGGTAAAACAGAGGGACTTCACCAGAAGATAACTTTAACTCACCTTGATGATTATGGAATACAAATTCTTATAAGAAAGAAAATACGTTTTATATACTGTACAAACTGTGTTAGCTTTCTGTTCAACAAAGTCCTTGTGTTACCCCAGCTCTCAACTGAAAAGTCAGTGCCAGGGATTTGACAGGGCCATCATTACCCAGGCCAACACTCCAGTGGGATCAACTATTGTGTACGCTAGGGAAAAGAACAAGAAGACCCTCAAGGTGACTCCAGAGATTTTCAGCACCTTCATAAAGGTATGTCGTGTTTCATTCATTGTATCACAGCATATTGTGCTTGTTGTCTTTATTGTTCCTTAAAGGGCTCAGAGATAATAAATTATGTGTTTAGTTACATGGTGACTGGTTGATACAAACGACCACTGATGACCACCCTTTCAAAAAAAAAACACACACACACACACACACACACACACACCACACACACACACACACACACACACACACACACATGTACGCACACCACTCACGCACACACACAGAATTAGGATTTCTATAAAAAACTGGAGATTTTGAAGTGAGGACCCCTTAATCTGGACGAATGCTCAAAAAAACTCTATAATCTTATTTCAATATTACAGCATGACCTGCTTTTAATGATATAATTGCAAATTTGTAAATGTGAAATAATTCTAGTTATTAGTAAATTGGTACTTTTGATTTCATTAATTCTCAAATTTGTAACCTGGCTTCACACCAAAAAAAGAGCATCCAGACGTACCCCTTTCTAGGACAACACCAGTCTACAAAGTTTGCATTCATTTTGATATCAACTGTCTGTCCATGGAGACAACAACTTTGTCAGGACTAAACCGGAATAGTCAGAAAAAAACAGTCACAGATTAAGAGTAAATTTCAGGTTTCCAGGATACAGCCGACTTGCTCCTGATACTGGGATGGTTTGAATACGCTACATTTCCCTGTTGCCTGAGATCAGCTGCGATGCCCAAATCCGGCCAAGGGGCATAAAGTTGGGGGGCCCAATGGCCCCTTGCACACTTCCAACCTCCCCTACTACCTGCGCCCTAGCTCAACCGCAGCTTCAAACTCTCTGATTTTTATCTCAGCTATAATGAGTCATTTTTGTGAATTGTGCGCTGTTTCAGTACGTTTAAAATCGTAAAATATTTTAGGAAATCAATAACGCAACTCAAACACCTCAAACACCTCAATTGTACATTAAATAAATACTCACACAACACATGTTGATCCCCATGGCTCTTGCTCATTCACAAACATGATATAGAATATAATTGGGAGGGATGAAACCCTCTTTAATGGTCACACATGCAGAGCAGACACAGTGACATTTGTTCTCTGCATTTAACCCATCCTAGTACCAGGAGTCTATACTAGGAGCAGTGGGTGTGAGGTAGTAGTGTACAGCGCCCGGGGAGCAATGGGAGTGAGGGGGGGAAGGGGGATGTCTGGTGCCTTGCTCAAGGCCACCACGGCAGGGCAGGAGGTGAACTGGGACCTCTCGAAGTAGAAGTCCACACTCCATATTTAGGTCTGGTCGGGGACTTGAACCGGTAACCCTACAGCTCCCAGTCCAAGCCCCTACTGACTGAGCCACTGCCAGACTATATATCATATGCATGTTATTGTTCTGTAATACATTTTTTCATTGGTTTTATTTCCAGGAGAATCCATTTCCAAAGAAAAAATGGGAAACGTGTGCTGTTGTCGGGAACTCAGGGATTCTGGCAAACAGCAGCTGTGGAGAGATGATCGATTCGGCTGAGTTAGTTATCAGGTGAGAAATCTGTCAAGGTCAGAGGACTGAAAGGCTGATGGCGACATAAATCCACAGAATAATTCTAATAATAATTTCTGACTCGTCTGTTATGCCTTTTCAGGTGCAACCTACCTTCTTTGGGAAAAGGCTATGAGAGACATGTGGGCACCAAGACTGACATCGTGACAGCCAACCCAAGCATTTTGGTGAAGGAGTGAGTAAATAAATGCGTCTCACTGCACCAATAGAGTGTTCCCTTGGTGTTGTTGCTTGACATCTTTTTATTTTCAGGTATGGAGATCTAATGGGGCCACGCCGTCCATTTGTGGAGAGTCTACATAGCTACGGAAAATCCATGATGGTTCTTTCCCCCTTCTCCTATGCAGGCAATACTCCGGTGTGCCTGAGGGCAGTATACAGCATTAGGGACTTTGAAAGTCCCATTCAGCCCATGTTCTTCAACCCTGATTACTTCCGGAGTCTGAAAGACTTCTGGAGCTCCAGAGGCCTAACCAGAGGCCTACTCAGCAGCGGCTTACTGATGGTTAGCATAGCGCTGGAACACTGTGCCAACGTGCATCTGTACGGTTTCTGGCCCTTCAGTAATCATCCATTGGAACTCAATGCCGTGAAAAACCACTATTACGATGATAAAAAAGGTATATGGACTGTCCACTACATGCCGGATGAGTTTGACCTGTTGTTGCGGCTGCACAGTCAAGGTGTGCTCAGGCTTCACCTAGGGGAACTGTCAACCGGGTAGAAATTAGTTCCCAGGTCCAGAGACAGATGAGACTGGGCATCTGAAGAATCGGGACATTTCCTGGTGGACTGAGGGTTGATCTCAGAATTTGTTTCTAAACTATGCCTTTTCAATACAATCCACTCACTCTCCCCCCATATCAGTTCCTAGACCCTCTGAGCAGAGGGATAAACCAGAAGGTGCAATAAAATATATTGTCACTTACACCAATTAATACATTTGATAAATAATTAGGATCTCAACTTTGATAAAAAATCATTAGTATTGTCATTTTGGCCATAATAATAGTCATAATCATCTTTTACTTTTCCAGCAAAATTGCAAGGAAATGGTTATTCAAAATATAACTTTCAGTCATGGAAAGGTTTCGATATTTGAAAAGATGTGACATATTGTGAGATGTAAAGGAATTTCAGTTAGATATATATATATATAACTCCCTTGTTTTTATTCCAAAGGCCACTCACACTCATTTGCATTTCAGTCGCCAAATCCATATAATGCGTTGTCAAATGTAATAATAATAATAATAATAATAATAATAATAATAATACATGGGACTTATATAGCGCTTTTCTGGAAACCCAAAGACGCTTTGACAGAGAATTACAAAAAGAGATAAACAAAACAGAAAATAGGGGGGGGGGGGGGGGGGGGTCAGTGGTTGAATGCAGTGTTGAACAGGTGGGTTTTGAGTGATGTTTTGAATGCTGTGAGGGAGGAAGAATCTCTGATGGATTGGAGTAGAGTTCCAGAGGGTGGGTGCAGCAACGGAGAAGGCTCTGCCGCCCCAGGACTTGAAATGTACACTTCCTTCTCCTCAATTTGATCTCCCTGTCCGTCTGTGTGTGTGTGTTCCTAAACGTTTTCTCCTCAACAGATAACCTGTGACAACCCTGTGGTTGTCCACCAGTTGGTGCTGCTGTAACCTGTCCACCAGTTGGTGCTGCTGTAACCTGTGTTTCTTGTAATCAGCAGTGATGGGACCCACCTGTGGCACTTGATTCCAGTAGATAAGAGGGCTGCAGAACAGGCTCTCGGTCTCTCTCAGCTGCCCTGCTCGGTGCAGCAGGACACCGCTCCTCTGTTCTGTTTGATTGTTGTTTGTAACCACTGTGTTGCATAAAATAAGTGATTGTTTTGGGCAACTCCGGTGTGGAACTGTTGTCCTTATGTTACAAGCAGAGCCAGCTTGTAACATAGTGCTGTCAAAATTATCGCGTTAACGCCGGTAATTAATTTTTTGAATTAATTGCGTTAAAAATATTTAACGCATTTAACGCATGTGCAGAATGGCCCGCCCCATACGTGCCACCAGTGGCAGTGCCAGGGTATGGCTGGGGTAGGCTACACCCATACCAAGAAATGGCTTAGCCCCACCATGAAAAATGATGTTAAAGTAAGCAAAATAAAGTCCGCCAACTCGCGCGGAGTAAATTGCACAGACAGCAGTTAGTAAGATTGATTTCAGTAGCTACGGTTTTGAAAACTTTTGTCACGTAGTGATCGTCTTCTCAATAGAACATCTTTGATAATGTCTTCTGGCCAATCAGAATCAAGATAACGGCGTGGTGTTGTTGCAGGAAGTCCCGACGGAGAATACTTTTGCTGTAGTACAGGGGTGCACATAACTGGTACGCTAGGTTATGTGCGTAATCTGAAATGCGTACCGTCACTTGTGTCACAAAGCGCATTTGCGTACCGACGTAGGCTACTTGTGAAGCTTTTCCAGAAGGCGGTTAGATCACCGGACGACAGAGTCGGTCTCCGTGTGCACAGACAGGGCTGCTGTTAACGTCGGTCTGTACAACGGAATTGTGCCAAAACTACGCCAACTGGCTGTGGAGGGAGACTCCCCCCCTTCACTGGAGAACTGCGCTAAAACAGCTGATCACAACGTTCACACTCTGTGGTCACGAAGTACTCCACGAGCCGCCCCCCCCCCCCCCCCCCCCCCTCTGTCGACTTTCCTGAAGTACGTTGATAGAAATAAACACGTAATGAATTAAGACCCCACGGTTTGATGATTGATAGGTGTGTGGGTTGTCTTTCATTTTGACACGCAGAATAATGTTATAATAAACATAGATACTGTAGGCTATGTTAAATGGATATATCCGCCTTCTTTCATTTATCTTTCCATTCCCACAACAATATACATAAATAAATGGCATATTTTGGACATAGTTCGAATGGTGATTAATCATGATTAATTAATTTTTAAGCTGTGATTAATCTGATTAAAAATTGTAATCGTTTGACAGCCCTAATATATATATATATTTGCTAACCCATAGCCCTATACAAAGATCTTATGTGAAACCAATATTACATATGCAACAATTTCAACTTTTCACTAGTCAAACAGAAACAACAAAGTTAGCCCTTTGCATGATACATTTATGAAAATGATCTGGTTAAGCAAGCCTTTCAAAAAAGTAGCAAACACGCGGCTCATATTTGCTTACACATAGCCGAATACTAAGACAGGCAGTAAATTAGTTATCTATCTTGACACTAAATGTATACGAAAAAAACTAATTCACCTTTAAAACAACACCATTTCAAATCCTTACCTTATTTAAGTGTTTCTGGATCGGACCTTCTCACGGAAGGCGCCTCTAAATAGAATGAATTATCATTATTATTTATTATTATTATGATCTGAAACGATGTAATCAAAGTCAGAATAATAATAATCTCTCAAAACACGAAAACTCACAAAGATTATAAAGGAAATGAAAACACAAAAATGTCCTGTACCTTTGTGTATGTTCAACCCGTTCAACCCAGTCTCATAAAAAAACGTGTAATACCCACGTTGGTCCACAACGTAGGACGTAGTATTTCTACAAAAACCCCTCTGAAATTGTAAAATCCCTACGTTTTTTTTCACCATTCATTCCAATGGCTGGCGTCTATGTCACGTGATCTTCACATTTCTCCCTGCAGAAAAAAAAACATGGCCGAACTTCGTTTTATTCTCGGTGTAAAATGCCTATTTTAAAGTTAGTTTGGCCATTAAAATGCGTTTTGATGTCATTTGATGCGAGAAATATGAGTTTTTATTTCAGATTATGTGTGCAGTGGATGTACATGATCTTTAGTTTGCTAGTTATTACGAAGATTACTTCAGGAAATTGTGTCTATACAACGTTTTCATTGTCACCAAGGTGGTTGCTAGGGATGCTGCTATCGATATTATTTCTGTTATGTTGTGTAACAGTTTAATGGTGTAATCTTTATTGCTACCCCCTTCCCCGTCAATGTATAGTGTTGGTCCACAGCGCAAACGTATTAGTTTAACAAAATCCACATCTAAAATTGTGGCATAGATACGTTATTTTCCCCTGTGCAATTCCAGTCTCACATCTCACAGCACATCGTCATAAACAAATACCGGAAACAAACCGAAAACACTTTATTCCGAGTGTGCTTGCTTTTCTCTTTGGAGGTCATCACATAACGGCATTGTAATACACGGTTCGGCTGCATTACATATTACATATCTGCCGTAGTTCTCTATTTATAGAGCCCTGATGAGAAGACTTCTAGACAAACATGAGGAACTGCCGCCCATACTGAAAACGTGACGTGGATCATAAATATATCAGCCATTAAACAACATCTTACATTTCTTTTCACACAATACGTCTCCTTGCAGTATCAACACTAATTCGGCTGACTTTTATATTTGATCCAATTGGTAGATAGGCTGTATTTACACCATAAAGGTGCACAGCTGATATAAAGGGACACCTAGTGGTTAAAGCATGTTATTGAATTTCATTATTTTTATTATTAGATATTAATAGGATCCCTATAAAGTATATTCATTACTCGTTATTCTCTACTAATAGTTAATTAAACACTGTATAATGACTATTTTGCACATCCCTTTCAAGATTTCAAGATTTTCTAAGGTTTATTGACATACACAAACGGTGTAGTTATGCAATGAATGAAAAACTTTGTGTATACCTCCAGCAATGTTAACTATGTTGAAGCACTTATTTTAACTGATATTATACATAATGTATTATACTCTTATATAAGATGTATGTAGATAGTATAAGAAATGTGCAGAATACGACAGTTTAATGGTGACATATTGATCAGATGTCTTGTAATGCACTGTTGAGGAATCTGCGACCAAAGTTTTTCATCTCCGGCCTTGTCAGGTATTGAACAATCAATAAATATAGAACACAGAATTATTAAATATAAAACACAGAATTTGTGTGATTATACTAAATGATTTACAAATAAACACCACTGCATATTTACAACTGTTACACATGCTGATGTAACGCAAATGTTTCCAACTTGGGATCAATAAAGTATATCTTATCTTAAGCTGATCGATAGCTACTGCCATATTTGCAAAATGTGCCTCTGAACCTTGACAAGTGCATGTTTCAGGCTTATTAATTAATGTAATGTTATCAATTAACAACAGGGGTCACAAACATAAGACCAGCTGTTAAATAAAGCTCTTCTGACCTTAGCTGGCATGTGTGTATATATATTAATACTGCCCATTATGGGCACAAGCAATTTTCACCCATTTATTAATTATATGTTTTAAATTTGAGTGTTTCCTATCCCCTAAACCTCCAGGGATGTACACAGTTTAATACTGGCAACTTCTTATTATGGGAAATACGAAAACGTCTTTTAAAACTACAACTCCCAGTAGAGACGTGCCATAGATAGAGAACATGTTGCGAAACACAATAGCCAGCATGTGTAGTTCTGGGGACGGGGTGGGGGAGGGGGGGACGGGGTGGACCCGTTCAAATCCAGTTTTGGACAGTCTGCCGTGGTTCCATCCCATTTCAAGTGCTGTTCGAGGCTCGGCGTAACCCTCGGAGCACACTCTCCAATCACAGAGCTTGAGGACTATCACGGTGTTTGTCAAACAGAGCACATGGTGTAGTCCAAACGATAGCTGGGGATTCTGGGTAGTGTAGTGTCTTCTGCCATCCTTTACTCCGAAAAAATATTTGTTTATCCGAATCGAAGGGGAAAAATACAAAAGCATTGCACACAATTTAAACCAATCAATGTTGTGTAATTAACAAGGATAATCTGGTGTTTTTTAGTCGATGAGTAGTGCAGATATCACTGTAAAATCAATCGACAGTAAGGGGAATACTTAATTCCGGGTGTACAATTCTCCGTTATCCAATGAGAATGGACGCTCACATTGCCTTTAAGGGCAGCCGACACAAACGAATGCCGTGCTTCCATGAGCGTCAAACCCCGCCACAGATGGGAATTGTTAGTGTATTCTATAACCCCGAAGGCAGGAGAGACTGAAAAGAGTCAAGGGAAGCTTATAAAAGTTAACAGCATTTAATTACACAAAAGATGCGGTGGTGTACAGTACAAAATGAAATGTGCGAGTGGAGGCGCTCTCCTCATCCGCCCGGTCAGTCCAGGTCAGCCGGTAGAAAGAGGTCAATCCTTGGCTTGCTCTTCCTGTTGTCATCGGAGGTCTTCTCCTATTGGCCGGCGTCGTCGGGGGCAGGTCCAATGCAATTTCTGCCTTTTTCTGTTGTTAAATTATATCATTCTGATGTCTGTGGTTATTTAAACATTTCCTCATAAACGTTATTCAGCGGTAATAAACGAGTGCTAAACCCAGTGTGCTCGGTGTACAACATCACATGTCATTTCACCTTTGATTCACGGTCTGAAAATGCAGCATTTCGCCACATGCTAATGCTAACCGGAAATGAATAATTTTCAGAATAAAAGTATTAAGTTAATAGTTAGTGAACTTCCGGTTTTTCAGAATAAAACTGATTTAAATTAAATAGTGTATTTAATTCAAATTAAATATCAACATTGATTTTAATTTCTAACAATCCCTCCTTACATACCCTTTAAGGTATGTAAATAATATTGAAATCAATTAGTTCTTCATCCGAACATTGCATGGTACATAACTCATAAAAGTAAAAAAATACAAATAAGAATACATATTCATCATAGATATGAAGTTTTTCATTTGTGCATAACTTCTAGCTTAAACCTTTAATGTCACTTTGTAAAATAGCAGCAATTAGCTTGGTATGGAAAAAGTCTAACTCCCTCCTTTCACATCATAAATAATCTTCTTACTGTATCTGGTGTAAAGGCA